ATTATACAATATGTCACTGAATACTGTAACATATGTTATACGATATGTCACCGTTATGATACTGTAACATACGTTATACAATATGTCACTGAATACTGTAACATACGTTATACAATATTTCACCATTATGATACTGTAACATACGTTATACAATATCTCACCATTATGATATTGTAACATACATTATACAATATGTTACCGCTATGGTACTATAGCATACGTTACACGATATGTCACCGTTATGATACTGTTACATACGTTATACAATATCTCACCATTATGATACTGTAACATACGTTATACAATATGTTACCGCTATGGTACTATAATATACGTTATAAAAATATGACACAGTTATGATACTATAATATACGTTATACAATATTTCGGTACAAATAAACTGTCTGAATTATCTGTTGACATTTTTAAGTGGTTCGATATGATATAGTTACTCGTGAAACATTTACTGTGAACCTATCGTTCGTTTATTTTTACACGCCAAAACAAAGCATATATATATGAAAAGAAACAACTACAAGTTATACATTTGGCTCGGATCCACGTGTCCTCCTTATCCACAGAACAGAACTTTGAGATTACAAGGGTTTTTGTCATATCCAAAAAACATGATCGCCAGAAAGAGCCACCTGTCATCTGCTCGTAGAAAGAAAGAACAGACGCTGTGACGTCAAGAAAGCGTTGAACAACAAGAATCCAAAGCAGAGGTGACAAGTTAAGTCTATCTGGAGTCTCGAGCATCTATTTTGTTTGTCTGCAACACCAGAATAATGGTAGGTTTGAGAATGGCAAGATTCAAACTTCTAGAAGATTGATTAAAACTCTGTGAATATTTTAACAGGATGTCACAAGAAAATAAAGAAAGTTCCGTGCGCATTTTAGTTGGTTTTGTTATATATATATATATATATATGTGTATACACTGTTTTCACTGCAAAAACTTCATGAACGATTTATACACAAACACACACACATATATATATATTTCAAATTTACAAGTACGTTCTATATGAGATAACCCAAAGAAACTTCACTTTGTAGAATAATTCCATCAGTTATTTACAAGTACGTTCTATATGAGATAACCCAAAGAAACTTCACTTTGTAGAATAATTCCATCAGTTATTTACAAGTACGTTTTATATGAGATATTCCAAAGAAACTTCACTTTGTAGAATAATTCTATCAATTATTTACAAGTACGTTCTATATGAGATATCCCGTAAATAATTGATAGAATTATTCTACAAAGTGAAGTTTCTTTTAAATACAAGAAACGGTACTAATTTGTTTGTAACAAATACAAGAAACGGTACTAATTTTTTTATAACAAATAAAAGAAACGGTACTAATTTGTTTATAACAATTACAAGAAAGAGTACTAATTTGTTTGTAATAAATACAAGAAACGGTACATATTTGTTTGTAATAAATACAAGAAAAGATACTAATTTGTTTGTAATAAATACAAGAAACGATACTAATTTGTTTGTAACAAATACAAGAAACAGTACTAATTTGTTTATAACAAATACAAGAAACGATACTAATTTGTTTGTAATAAATACAAGAAACGATACTAATTTGTTTGTAACAAATACAAGAAACGGTACTGATTTGTTTATAACAAATACAAGAAACGGTACTAATTTGTTTGTAACAAATACAAGAAACGATACTAATTTGTTTGTAATAAATACAAGAAATGATCTTAATTTGTTTGTAACAAATAATATTGATCTTCAGAAATCCCGTACCCTAACTAATGTTTGAGTAGTAGGAACAGTTAAGTTTCAGTTTTGTTATAGAAAAGTAATGTAAACTTTATGATATTCCATTATGTATTTACTCAAACTGTAATTGTCAATCGAGAAAGATAATGAGCTTTCGTTAATCAAAGCTTATAGTTATTAAATGAAATGTAGGACTGGAGCTTTGTATATAAGGACTTTGTTCTACTCGAAAGTTCAGTCTTCTATAGATACTTTAACACTAGTATGCAAACATTTTTATTTTCTGACCGATTTTAACATGATAATAATTTCAGTAATACCTTAAATACTTGATAGAATTATTCTACAAAGTGAAGTTTCTTTGGGATATCTCATATAGAACGTACTACTAATTTGTTTGTAATAAATACAAGAAACGATACTAATTTGTTTGTAATAAATACAAGAAACGATACTAATTTGTTTGTAAATCGTTTCTTGTATTTGTTACAAAAAATTAGTATCGTTTCTTGTATTTGTCATAAACAAATTAGTACCGTTTCTTGTATTTGCTGTATATTAGTAGTTTGTAAGGTTAGCAACCATACATAGAATATTGTGTTTCTCTAGTTGCTTTAGTTGTAACAGTTAAACGAATAGATCTGTCATTAATATATATAAAACACAGTACTCGCTTTTAATGGGGGAATAATAAAACGTTGAATGTTATCTCTCAAGCGGCGCTATTTTTATTATTATTGTACATGATTGATGTGCCTTGCAAAATAAACATGTACACACATAGAAAAAAATATAGTACATGATCAATTATTTGATTTTGACTTTCAAAGACAGTTTCCTAAGTTAAAGCCCGCCGCAAGGAAAAGCATTAAATTGTGTCCATTTTTAGCGCGTCACGTGGCTGTTTTTTTTTTAGGATTTCACTTGATTATCGCCAGGAGGCTTCACTCACTAAATGAAACGCTATAATAGCGAAAGTAACATATAATATAAACTCCAAGACTATATGAAGCTTGGTCTGGTTCTTTCGATTTGTTCTTGTTCAGGATTACTGATGAGAGGTGGAATTTTCCGAAAGCTGCATAATTTAGTGAGAAGTGATGTTTCGAATGATAAATCTCGCTGCATATGTGTTTTTAGTGAAGGTAACAAATTATTAAATGTCATTTTAAGCTCTTACCAAAATTACAGGGCTAATTTTGACGCATCAAAAAGCCCCAGTACTCTGATTTAAAAAAGGAACAGGGTACTTAAGCAATTTTAAGCCACACAGCTGTGACCATCTACGATGCTGTAAAAAGAGTCGTAATTCTTTATGGAATTTTTCTCATGCAACTCGCGCAGTTATCACAAATTGATCGAAGGTGCGACCATTAAACGTTTAAAATAGGTACTACTAACAGATGTTGTCAGACGTTTTCCATAGTGATAAAAACGGCATAGTTCAGGAAATCTGCGATTCAGTCTGAACCAACGTTCTCTACAAAGAAAAATTAGGTTACCTAGTCAACTTAAATATTCAACCATCTTTGAAAGTTATTCAACAGTTTTAGAAGTTTCTGAAGTTTTTCACGCAGGGTTTAATTGATGTAGAATCACCTGATGTGTATTCTGTTAAGAACATTTTAAAATCAGGTGAAAACGTATATTACAGGAATAAACAATAAAACCTAACTTACCAGGAAAATTCTGCGGGTTAGGACTAACAATTGTCCCTTGTTCTTTCGTTTCAGATTCATTCGGCCAGATAAAGTTTCCTCCTGGAACCAGAAGAAAACCTTATTATAAATCAAAAACTATTCTTTTTCTCTAGAACAATGGTTTTAATTTTATACTAAGAATTAAAATATATGTTATAAGAAATGTTTCACTAGTCGACAATTGTATGTGAGAGATACACACATATATATATATATATACACCCACACACCCACACAGAGTTTACATGTGCCTATATACATAATATTTTGGGACAACTTGAGACCTGTTGCACACCTAGACTGTCTCATCCTCGAAACTAGATTAAAACTATTAATAACTAAATTAAAAAAATTAAGCCAGCCCTTATCATTCATATACTTATCAAACTTTCTCCTAAACTCACTTAAATGTACGGCCTCCACAACACCCGAAGGCAACCCATTCCAAAGGCCAACCACCCTATTAGAAAAATATAACTGTTTTAACTGAAGATGACTCCTACTCTGCCAAAATGTATAATTGTGTACCCTAGTCCTACTATTTTCACTGTTAAGCATGAAAAAGATAATGTATTTACACTATAAATTCCGTTTACATTCTTAAACACTTCAGTCAAATTCCCCTTAACTCTTCTTTTTTTCAAGAAAAAACAATTTGAGAGATTTCAACTTTTCCTCGTATGACAACCTCTCCATCAAAGGCACCATTCCACTACCCCTTCTCTGAACCGTTTCTAACAATTCAATCTACTTCCTGATGAGGTAAGGAGCCAAATACTGAACACAATACTCCAAAAGTGGCCTAACAATGAAATTATAACCTCTTTAAAATCCTATTTGCCCTACCAGTAGCAACAGCACACTGCTTGGATGGCTTTTGAGACTGATCAACTGTTATACGAAGATCACTTTCTTTGATGACACTGTTAAGGTTATTCCCATCCAAATTATACTTATAATTTAAAAAATGATAACCCACATGCATTTTCTTGCATTTAATATAACTAAAACCCATTTGCCATTTATTTGCTCAACTCTCTAAATGATCTAAATTCTTTTGTAAATCAGCAGCATCATCTTCACAGCAAGCAACACCCAAGACCTTAATACCATCTACAAATTTAAGTAATTTATTGACTATTCCTTCCTATATGTCAATGATGTAATTCAAAAAGAGCAAAGGTCCTAAGACTGAGCCCTGAGGTACCTTACTTTTAACATTAATCCAGCTTGAATGAACTCCATTTGTAGCAACCCTCTTCTCTCTTCCATCCAGCTACTATTTTATCCAATTTGCTAACTTATCTCCCACATCTATAGAGATAATTTTACAAGCCTTTTATGTGGCACATTGTCAAATGCTTTCTGAAAATCCAGATACAAAAAATTGACATCCTTACCCTCATCTACATAAGCAGTAACCTTTTCTAAGAATGTCAAAATATTTGTAAAGTAAGATTTTCCCTTAGTGAAACCATGTTGACTATCCTATAAAATTATAAACTTTGTTAAGTGACTTTGCAAAGCATCTTTTATCAGACTTTCCAAAACTTTTCCCACGGCTGATGTAAGCTTAATGGACCCACAATCACTGGGACAATTTTTATCACCAATCTTGAAAAGAGGGGTGACATTAGCTAATTCCAATCCTCTGGTACCTGCTCATTATTTAAGGACTTAGAAAAAAGTAGCAAGAGCTTGACATATCCAATCCTTAACTTCCCTCAAAACCCTTGGAAAAATACTGGTCCAGACAATATATATAGTATTGGATATATATATACACAGTACTGGAACTACACTATAATTGCAACTAAGTAAAAAGTTTGTCATTAATACAGTACATAACAGCCGAAAATACAAAACTGAAGTGAGTAAATTGACAAAGCATCAGTATTGTATATTTAGTTTAAAGAAAGCAGGATATTTTTATGCTTCCTTAAGCCTATCAATTAAGCAAGATTGTTTGATCGTTATTATACCTTCTAAGTTTCCATATAATCCTATACAGCTTTAAGAATATTCACATGAGGACTTTGTATAGGTAAAGTCATGGTTGTAGGAGTTCCTCATATCGACCTCTTTATTTTACCTGTTATAGTTTTACCACATTTGCTGTATAATTGGGGTGACTGTTGTGCTGGAAGATGAACCCTGCCCAATAGATCCTGTTTCTCAGGGAATGGGTGATAAATAAGAATTAGCTTGTACCTATCAGCAGTCAGGATGCGATCAATTTTCCGTAGATTCCCAACATCATTAGCTGAGATGCAGCTCCCACTTCTATTGATTCCCAACATGGTCCACTTTATATATTGCATATACCACCAAACCAAATATCAGTGATTGTTGGGCAACAATTTGAATTTTGAATCATTTGTAAAGAGCACCCTTCTCTAGCTTTGTTCGTCCTACTGTTGGAAGTTCGTATCCATTTCAGCCTATTGGATTTCTGTTATCTCCCAAGCAGTGGTGTTTGAACAGCTACAAATCTACTGAGGTCACTTTGTGCTAATGTGTGTCATTCTGTTCTGGAAGTAACATTTACACCTGAATTTACAAATAAGCCGTTGACAATATCTCTACTTATTCGTCCTGTATCACTTATTCCTTGAGTTACTTAACATCACCTTTGAAGAGTTTGGCTTTCCTTCCTCGATTAATTCACTTACCAACAATACTAGTTTTATCTACTTTCAGAGTTTCCATACAGCTCTTATTGAAACACAAAATTTCACCATAACCTGTATGATGGAATAGTTTTCACCGCCAACATTTTCAGTTTCTACACTTTTGTCATGTGGTCACTCTGCCCTAGAAGTCACGTATGTATGAACACTACTGCTGGGAATAGTGTGGCTGCTTGTACTTTTATAACCATTATTCTGGTTGGTTGGTTTGCGCCACATTATTCTTATGCAGCTTTATTTAAGTGTTCGGAAAACAACCAATCACAAAGTAGACTATTAACATGTGACTGTATTTTGGTGCAGGCCATTTTCATATAATAAAGAGATAGAAATTTTATAATGTTTACATTTTATACCCATGTTATTCACTGTTTTGACAATAATTTCTATTTCCAATAAATAGCAGAAAAACTTGCTAAGTACAGAAAAGGTTACAAATGAGACTGTGAAAATAGGTCTGCTGTGATAATTTAATTAAAAGAAAGTACAAGCAACACAACAGTATAGGAAATAGAACTAAAATAATGTAGTCTATGGAGTGAAATAGGGATAGATATTCATAACCAGAAAAGACGAATATACAAACTTATTGTTCATTTCAGAAAGTAAAAAAGATTTTATGACTGATCGCCTCTTTCTCAGAAAATCGAATCTACTAACATTTCAAAGTTGTAAATTACGCAGTTTTACAATAAAAACAGCTTAAATGTGAATCCCAAAAGATCACTTTCTTATTTCGCTTATTTCAATCTATGACTGAAAATTCCATTCGTCCTCAGTATTTTCATGGCTGTTGACCTAAACTGATTTAGAATTCTGTATTCGTTTTCATAAGCCTTGCTGAGACGACGTGAACTGAGGAAGCCCCAACTTCCTTCCAACTAACACCTTCTGGAGGTTCGTGACGTGCTCTAAATTGCAGATCACGTGCGAAGTCTGGAACTGATCTCAGAAAATTTTGAAACTTTTTACTAATAAAAAAAGCTTTTCTGTCTAGTTATACATAACTTTTGGTAGACTAAAGATGAACCGAAATTACTCATGGTCATAAACAAGAAAACTGTACAGTTCGAAAATATAGAATGGTCTAGAAGTATTTTACAACTTTCTGTAATAATTTTTGCCACTAGACAGGTTCAATTTTAAACCGAAATAAGAAACATATAAGAAACTTAGATGATGTATACTGACATTGTGGCCTAATGTAAAAATAATTTTAGAAATGTTAACAAATTAAAATGTTGGTTTAGCAAATTTTTGCATCTTTTTGAAACAAAACGGCATATTTATCTGTGTTAACTAATTGTATTTCGAATTTCAATATAACAGTTTTTAAGTAACAATTGTTGACACTTTCAGTGAAGGAAAAAGAAAACCGAGTTTCCAACATTGTTTACAGCAGAACATTGCAAAACATTTGTATTAAGTTGCGAAATTAATTAGTTGCTTAGAAAATAATCAAATAATACTATTTATTATTGGCCATCTTTTACAGCAGAACATTGCAAAACATTTGTATTAAGTTGCGAAATTAATTAGTTGCTTAAAAAATAATACTATTTATTATTGGCTATTGTTACGTTTCACTGCATAGCTTGCTTGTTTGTTTACTGTTTGCTTGTTTTATAGCAAAGTCATAATACGCTATCTGCTGTGTCCTCCTTGGGGAATCGAACCCCATATTTTAGCGTTGTAAGTCCGTATACTTACTGCTGTCCCATAAGGAGGACTTACTAGGTAGCAAGAGCCGGTTATCACAGATTATAATTAATGAGGTTCTTTTTACAATAATTATAAATGTCACGCTTGTTATTTATCAGTTTTATGTTATTTTTTATACTTTAGCTTGTAAATATATTATTAAAATAACTCGACCGGTAATAGTTTAAAATATAGTCGAAGTCTATAAATTAAAATATTAACCTTTCCTTCACATCGCTCTCTAGTAACAAATGATTGTAGTTGATATTTCTCACTTCCTAAATCTTTTGACCCCAATGTCCTTACTTAATCTTCGAATTTTTTTGTTTTTATTTTATTTTTACTTTTAGGGGGGGGGGGGAAGAGGGAATAAGGGAGGTAGAGAAATTCGGAAACTAATAACCAAACAAACTGTACCAATTAAATAATTATTTAAATAGTAAATCTATTTTGCAGTATCATGTATTTTATTGTTTTTACAAAATTTCGGCTCAAAGATAAATATATATACATTCATTACAAAGGCGTTTTTGATTATAAACGTTCATTAAACATTGGATTTCTTGTAGCTCAGTAAAAAATGAAATAGTTGTAGACCGTTTTATCAGTGACTTCTTAACGTATTAGCTTATTGTCATATGATACTGATTTGTCCGACTGCAGTTAGTATCCAATAACAAGAAACATACCTGACCAACGAGTCCTTATAAGATTTTTAAAGGTAAACCGTTAGAATACTGTGAAAAAATTTCTAATATAACCATTAAATTTGGCTTTTATTGTTATTTGTGTATAGCAGCGTAGCTTTCAATAGATAATTTCACAAAAAGTCTACATTGAAATTCAAATAATACTAAATGAAAAACAATATTTTACTGCTTATTACCTAAAGTATTTTAGTCTATGATGTAGTTACGAAAATATTGGTAACCTGGATACAATAATATCATTCGTTTTTTGTTTTCTTTACCTTGTAATCGCTTTGCAGTTTCTCGAGCACTGATGTCTTGATTTCTGTCTGTTTGCTTTCTTAGATCTTCCTCATCTCCTGATAAAATATTGTTTTACTTCAACTTAGAATCCATGTTTAAAAATTAGTATATTCATACACTAAATATTCTCATGGTACACGAAATAATTAGTGCAATACATTCCTAACTGTAAACACATTATGTAAGATAACATGATCTAAATAAAAACACTATCACCATGGTAAATACAAATAAGACATGTGTGAAGAATAAATAACGTAAAATTTATAACCTTTTTAAATTTTGCGTTAAACAACCTTAAAACTTCACTGTTTTATATATCACATTTTTGTGAGTTGAGAAAATCAGGTGTTTTCAGAATATTTTATGTTACATGGTGATTGTTTATATTATGTCGTCAATAAATTAATGTCACTTTTTTAGATGAAAATACC